GCATCTAGAAATTATAAAGATGACGATGAAAAGGTGGGGAGAGAGAAGTTGACAAGATATGTGGTCACATGATGGGTGGCACCGGAGTTTAGAATCCATTCAGATGAGGATGGAGCCAGGAGATAGGCTGTAGTGTTGGCTTAAGGAAAGGCATGGCTTGATGTATGCAAACTTCATGGTACTGCTAAATGAGTCTAGGGAATGCATTAGAATGTTAGACACCTCTTAGCAGAGTGTCCTTATTGTTTGCATAACTGGCAATGCCCAATATAAGTACGAGAGCCACGGTGGTGCTGTGAATGTGGTGGTCGTGGAGTGTATGCCCCAAGAGATCAAAAAGATTTAAATTATGGCAGACCTGTGGGGTGATTATTTAGTATGTGAGATGATGCAGACTTTGCAACGGCATTAGCTGTGGCTGAAAGGGTGGTCTGGTTACCTTCATGGCAGCCAGTTGTGCTTCACGGTTGAGGAGTTTTTCGTACAATTCTTCAAAGGAGATTATTGTCTCTCGGGCGTGGATAGCATTGGCAATTTTTTATATTTGTCGTCAAGTCCATTGAGTATTTTGATGGTGAGATCCTCGATGTCAGTAGTGTATTCATCATTGGAAGTTCATCCACTTGATCTTGATGTTTTGTATAAGCTCAGTGATTCTTTCAGAACCTTTGATTGGGTAACTTATTTGTGTTTTTAAGTGGGTGATGCGGCCACATGATGGCTTACCATATGTGCTGGCAAGGGTGGACTAGGCATCTTGAGACGTTTGAGTGGTTACAATAAAGGGAATCAAGGTTGGAGATAGGGAACCGATAATAACATTCAAGATTAGTGATGACACCATCGACTGTGATGGTGTGCTCGAGACATGGTTGTGTACTATTGGCAAACACGAACAGATTGTAGCTTGTGAGGATTGAGAATTGGAGGAAACTCCATGAGAGATACTTGGATGTGGTAAGCTTCAATAACACATATGCGGTAACATTAAATGAGATGATTTGTCATTGATAAGTTGGATAAGCAACGACAGTCTGTTGAACTAGAACGGTAACGTCTGTGGTGGGAATGGAGGAGGAAGTATGCACCGGTGAAGATTGAGATCCATGATGGCAACAGCACTGAGCCAACAACGATAGTGAGGAAAAAAAATTACTTTTGTTTGATGTGGGTGAAAGCCAATAGCTCTGATACCATAATATAAAGGTTTTCTTTTATATTATTGCTTGAACAAATACATAGATATATACATCATGAAGTCACCAATTAAGAAGGCTTATGATTAAGGGAAGTAGAATATTCAACAATGATCATTGATCCTAATTTAGAAGATTTTAGTAATATTTAAATATACACCAACTATACATGATTCACTAAATATTCTACAGGGTAATATGTATCTGATCTGATACCAATATTGCATAACATACTATAAAAATATGAACCGTTATATGATGAAACAAAGGAAACGAACGAGAAAACAAGATATTGTAAACAAATATTTATTCACAAAACTATTTTACTTGCATCTGAAAGACTTAAAGTCTTCAAAAATAAAAAAATCTTCTTCTTACGATGATAATACAATAATATTGGATAGCATCTAAGCCATTAAAATGGCTAAAGAATAAGACATAACATAAGCACAAGGAAAAAACAACCAACTAGATATATATCATTATCTCATCACACTCAGAATCCACCACAAAGACAAAGGACAAGGTGCAAAGTTGATTCCTTTAGAATTTTGTAGTCTACTAAAGTCCTCTCATCCTCTAATTGCTTCCCAACTAAGATTAACCTTTACTGGTCAATTGGGCTCCCCTCTTTGTCTTGGATTTTAGTCTTTACATTAACAATGGTGTCAGAGGTTTCTACCTCCAAAGTGATAGCCTTTCCTATCAAAGTTTTAACAAAAATATATATGCCACCACGAAGACAAAGCACCAAGTGGAGTGTAGATTCCTTACAATGATTACTTACAAAACTAGATAAGACCACAAACGTTGTCAAGCATTATCATGAACCCTGCTTGATTCTCCAATATCACAAAATCTTTTCTCCTGAATGGGAAAAGAAGATATCAAATGCAAAAAATACATTATCACTCCAGTGAACTGTACTGGTCCCTTAAACAAAACTGTATTGCTCGATCCTAGAATAAACTGATTGTCTATATGACTAACAACTTAAACCTAAACTTCAAATCATCTAATAAAATTTCATAATCAGATCTCACAAAGAAATCTATGATCTTAGAAGTAGAGTTAAAAGCAATAAATGTCAATATGACAATAAAATATTAAGGTACGAACAACTATATGATGAAATGGAAGAGAACACAAGATATTGTAAATAACTATTTATTTACAAAATTATTTTATTTGCATCTAAGAGACTTAAAGTTTTTAAAAATAAAAATCAACTTCTTAGGATGACAATACAATAATATTGGATAGCATCTAAACCATTAAAATGGCTAAAGAGTAAGACATAACATAAGCATAAGGACACCAAAAACAACCAACTAGATATATATATCATTATCTTATCACACTTAGAATCCACCACGAAGATGAAGGATAAGATGAAAGTTGATTCCTTTTGAATGTTATAGTCTGTTAAAGCCCTTCCGTCCTCTAGCTGCTTCCCTACAAAGATCAACCTCTACTAGTCAGGTGGGATCCCCTCCTTGTCTTGGATTTTACCCTTTACATTATCAATGGTGTTAGAACTTTCTACCTTTCAAGTGATAATCTTTCTTATCAAAGTCTTAATAAAAATTTGCATGCCACCAAGAAAACGGAGCACCAAGTGGAATGTAGATTCCTTATGATTAATACTTCTGAAACTAAATATGACCATAAACGTTGTCAACCATTATCATGAACTCTACTTGCTTCTCCAATAACACAAAATCTTTTCTCCTGAATGGAAAAATATATATACATCAAATGCAAAAAATATATGACCACTATAATGAACTATACTGCTCCCCTTAAACCAAACTGTACTGCTCAATCCTACAATGAACCGATTGTCTATACGACCAGTAACTTAAACCTAAACTTTAGATCATCTAATGAAAATCTGACAATCAAATCCCATGAAGAAATTCGTATGATTTTGGAAGGAGTCTTAGAAGCAATGGATCCAATATGGTATGTATTATATAAAGATATGAATAGCTATATGATGAAACGAAAGAAATCGAAGAGAATAAAAGATATTGTAAATAGATATTTATTCTCATAACTACTTTACTTGAAACAGAAAGACTTAAAGTCTTCAAGTATAACCAAATCAACATCTTAGGATGACAATACAATAACTATTGTGATTAGATAATATTATATATCTAGTTGGTTATTTTTTGGCGTCATAATGCTTCTGTTATGTCTTATTCTTTAG